CTGTAAAGCTACTCATTGTATATAATATAGTTTATCATCAAAGTTTCTTTAAACATTATAACTTTCAAGATTACAACAAAAATAGTAGCTAGTAGTTGCTAGTTGGGTTCGAGATGTTTGAATTGCAATAATTAACTACCACATTGTAGTGAATTCAAAGGTAATGACTTGTGTTAATTCACGTTCGTTTAAGGGGGTAGTGTAAAGAAATAATAAAACTTGTTTTTGGTAAGTACGATGAAGTAAGTTTTGAAACCATAGATTTAAACAGGCATAAATATTCATAGGTGTAAAATTTGTAATAAAGAGATCTGAAATTTTTTTTTTTTACACGCCTCTGATTTTGAACCCACAATAATCAAATTAATAGAAATGTGGAAGAAAAAACTACAGTTAACGCAATTTTCATAACAAATTTTAGTTCTATTGATTTCTAAAATTTTTCCAGCTTTCGGCATTTAAACCATATCGTTTAAAGATGTAAATATTGTTATTATAAATAAAAAACTGCAAATTGTTTACATTAAAACCGATTGTTAAACTTGACAGCAATGAAATGTACAAAATAGAATAGACTAATGTAAGCGTAACTACTTTCTTTGATAATATTAAATTTATGATTAAGAGTCCTAGCAATGGCCGATGTGTAGGCATTTGTCTCGTCGATCTTATGATCTGTCTGGTTTTCTCACCCCGAGTCTCGATCACTTTAGTCAAACGGAAAAATTACTTTTATTTATATTTCTCACCTCTGTTCGATCAATTTACTACTGCACAAAATGTAGACATTATGTAATTGCTGTTATATCAATACGATTTTCTTAGTGTTAATCTCAATCAATGTGCGGCTGGTAACTATTGCCTGTCATCCAAGATAGTGGCCAGAAATTTTGTGAGAAGAAGTTCCTGGTAATAAATAGTACAAGAAAATTGAAATACTGTAGATTTCATCTTTATTGACAATTAAAACAAACTGTGTGTGTTGTCAGTTGAAATAATGCGATCAGTTGTATGGACTAAACTTCAAGAATTTCTGCTTTTATGTATAAATAATAGTTTATCTATACCGTTTTAGCCAAATTGAATTGTCATTTGTGTGGGTTTTTTGTTTTTGTTTTTTGTATAAATCTATTATAATAATACTCAGCTTTTCTGTCCTGAAAATGTGCAAGCATCTTACTCTGCGCGCGCGCACTTATTTAAATAGATGTAAACAAAAGGCGGATATATATACTTTTTAGCTGTTATGGTTGTTTCACCACAGTTGACGAGTTTTAATATTGAACGAAAGATTCCCTGAGCAATGATTTGAGAAAGACAGAAAATAAACCGGAAATGTTAATTTTATAAGCCTCTGATTTTAAATCCAGTATAGACAAATTAAGACGAATGTAGAAAAAAAACAACATCTATAGCCAAGCGTGATTTCTATTACTAGTATTAGTTTACTTGTTTCCAATGTTTCGTCTGCTTTCGGTGCTAAACATCGTAGCATTGATATAAAAGAAGAAGAATGAAGTTATTCGAGAAGAGATTTAACATAAAACGATATTCTATATGAGATACAGTGCGTAAAAAATATAGCATATTGGTTATTTCTATATTACCCATAGTTCAAAGACATTGTATGAAAGTAATTATAGATTACTAAAGGTAATTTAAAAACCAACAAATAAGTTATCGAAAAAGAGCGAGCATATATGCATGCAGCCCACCAGTAGCTCAGTGATAAATCTGAGGGCTTATAACAACAATAACCATGTTTCGATATCCATGGTAGGCATAGCACATATAGCTCATTGTGTAGCATTGTGCTTAACAACAAACAAACAATATGAGTGCATAAGTGATTTCCAAGTTATTAGATACACACATACACACACAAAGATTGTGGAGCTATCAATAGGGATGTCTAGTATTTCTCTTTAACTTTGATAAGCCTAAATTAAATAACTTGACTTTTTAGTTCTAATATTCCATGGGAGAGACAGGTTGATTGGTACGATCTTGAGGTACCTAACGAAATTGACATCAGTAGTGCTTTTTTTTATTTCCCTTAGACATAAATAAAAATGGTGAACTTTCCTAAGAGGCTGCTGTAACCAGTTATGTACTGTATTATTTCTTGTCTGCAGTATCAGTATTTATAACATTGATTTTCATATTTTAAGTAGGTTTTGGTGGTCTTACACATATATATTGCATAAACATTGTTCTGTATATTACGTCTCCCATTACCCTCTCAAATTTCGCAAACGACATATTACTGAGAGGAAGCCAACACTTTAACGGACACTTGTCGAGGATTCAGAAGATGCAATAACCTCAAGAAACAGCGGAGAACTAAGATGATGTAGAAAGAAACTATTCTGAAGGCTGATCACTGGCTCTTTTGGCAGATGGTTGACAGCCACCAATAGGAATCTTCACATGTGTGAAATTTTAAACATATCCTTGGTCCTCTTCCCGTATATCTTGGAAACTATAATGGAACAATGAAGAAAATTAACAAGCTTCTTGAGCTAAATAACTTGGATGGAAAGTGGCATCAGCTGAATGCATCAGTCAATCATTGATGGGATGAGCCTTATCCTTAAACTGCATGGCAAAAATCACACGTTTCCTGAGATGTCTGTACACGTGCTTGTATTAGCCTTACAAACTTGAAATTAAAGTGATTGAACTCATGTTACTTGTGATGTATACATGTCCATGAAAACAGCTTAGAGAACTAATAAAGTATAAGATGGAAATGTTTGTAAATTCATACAATGTCAGGTCATGAGATCAAGAACTGGAGACCTCTGTAATTGTGTGCTTTCAGCAAAAACCACATTAATGCAATACCAAGCAGAAAACTGGAAAAATTCGTAGTACAAAGTAAAAAGCTTGATTATAAAGTGGTTTTTGTGATATACGTGGATAGTTACTTCGAACTCTGCACAGGATACAGAGACGGTGGATGATTTGAAAATAATGCGGGAAAAGTGAGACACACGTATACTGCTTCATGTTAAACACTCTGTTGCCTTACTATAAATCTAGCATTATTGAAACAGGTATTATTGATGTGTTAGTCCTTTGAGTGGCGTTTAACCAATGCATTGATCACGTTATGTAAATTAGACGCTGTACAAATAGAAGGATCGATGTCAAAAAACTGGTCACAACTATTGGACAACTACCAGGATGGAATATGACAACAAGATCTGGCCAGGTTTCCTGACATTCCTAGCCCTCAAGCTAGTCATAACTGGGCAGTGAATGAGTTAATGTATTTCAGATATAATATGTTTGTTAACTTCCAGACTGCCAATATCTTGTGAACTGCCAAACTTCAAAACTGCTCCAACATGAGAAATGATGATGAAATACAACAGATTGGGAAACTTCAGACAATGACTATAATAATATAGCTCAATAACTGAGTTAATATATAATGCACAAATAT